ATATGTGTAATGGTTAAGGGGCATTTAAGTAAAACGCATTGACTTAAAATAGTGGAATGGCTAGCCAAACCAAAGTGTATACAGGGCAAAGCTTTGGGAAACTGAGGCATTCAGAAGCTAGCTGAAGAAGTTGGATGTTGAATCAGCAGTAAAGAAGTTAAGGTATTCTATCCATAATAGCAACAAATTCAATGAATAGAATACATAGCAGATGTGTAGGGGTTATGCTTAGTATAATTAGACACAATTCTCATTTATTACTTTAAGCATGTAAGGGTGGGATGTGTCCTAATTGATGACCTTAAATTTTGGTAAGAGTTATCCCCCTCTGTTTTTTATCAATAAAAAAATCAATTTAAAAAAACTAATCTGGAAAAAAAATATCGTTTTAATTATCATTCTATTTCTAATGTTTTAATTAATGCATCTTTCCACCACAGTATATATTGAAATTCTTATTAATTGAATTTTAATTTTTAAAAATCGCTTGTAGCTATATACATCAATACAATCTTTGTTAATTAATTCCTGCTTAATTAATTACATTTTTTAACTTTCTCTGCGTAAATCCTTTTCTACTCTAAAATGCTTTAAATTAATATAAGAGTATTATGTTCGTGATAGACACTTAAGGATGGAGACATTGGTCCTATTAGGGATGAAAAACCTTAAGGGTAAGATCAAAATAAAAGTAAAAAAGTTACAGTGGCAAGTATCCTAAGGAATTGATGGTAAGTTCTGGGTGTTATAAATCCGAAGGAGATTGAGACAACCGGTTCTTATCTATCATTAAGAAAACTTCAATGACGTCACCCATTGTTATTAGTCTACGTATATTTTACCGATTCATCCAGCACTAATTGGATAATTAAATATCCAACTGGCCATCAGTTGGATATTCAATTATCCAACTGCATAGAAACATAATTAAGAAATGAACAAAAAGGATAAAAGAGTTGAAAATGTTTGAAATGTATTTTCCAATGCACATGAAAAATAACAATTACTCCGACTTTGTCAAACTATTAGAATTTATTTCAAATGCACTTGGAATTAATTGCACTTCCAATGCTCACAAAAATAATTCCTCCGAATTTTGCACACTTTCAGACTCTTGCTGTCAATAAAATATCCAATACTTTTACAGAAATGTTTCGGGTGTTAAATTTTGAAAGCATCCCTTTCTGATACGCTTAAAAATGCATTTTCACCTTGAACCTTAAACCACATCATTTCCTGTTGCTGAATATAATTTTAGGAGTCCGTTATCAGCAAATCCCCTCAGATTATTCGAGGTTCATTTCTGTTCTCATACTTTTCCAGCGAACTTCCCAAAACAATTTAATAAATTGACAGCCATCTATTTTTTTTATCTTGATATGGAATATTTTTAATGCAGGTTCCGCATATTTTCATCTGTTTTAGCACTGGTAATAGTATTATTCGAATGGAACTCCATAAGATTCCAACACTTTTCCTCAACAAATCATCATTACATGTATCGTCGGCCGCAGCAGCGGCCGATCTATTTGTAGTTGTGTTAGAATGTGCACATGGGGAAATGAGACGTTATTTTTCATTGTTTCATTGAAAAAAAAAAATCTTATTGAAATCATCCTTAAAAGGTTTTGAATAAAAGTTCTAAATATTTGCTTAATACTAAATCTTAATGATTGATATAACATTTTGGTTTGTTTTTCATTTCTCTTCAGATATTAATTAATTTATTATTTTATAAAAAGTTGCTCCATAAACTGCTCCCCAACACGGGTGTTTGTAATATATAAAAACAAAACGTACTGCGTTTCCGAATATGAACTGAGTGCCTAAAATGATTAATAAATTGTTAAAAGTCTAAGAAGAACTGAGTTTTGTTTTGAATACACTACATTTACAAATGACATAATTAATTTCTTTTCTGCACTTCACATTTATTACGATACACACTGATCAGCATTATCATGCATGACTGTGCTAACGATCCGGTATCAGCACTTGTCAGCACTTAGATATTAGATGCATTTGTCTTTGAATCAAATAATTTTATGATAATATAGTCCTATCCTTTATCTCATTCCGATTATTTATCTTGATTAATATTTAACAATTGATCGCTGAAAATAAGAGTATAAAAATACACAAAAATTAAAATAAATCAAGTGTAAAAAGCATATATGAAGCATATTCATGTATTTTTTCTACTTGTATTTTTTTTATGTCTGTGCTTGGGAAGGGGGGGGGGGGCTGTTTTGTGAAAAAACTTCAAAATGCTAAATATATCTATATATGCTTTGCATCAATTAAACTTGTCTTATATGTATTAAGAAATTTCCAACCGTTTTATCAAATTTTTGTAGTTTTCTTCTGCTTTCATGTCAAAAGTATCTGAAACAAATGACATTAGCACCATGCAGTTTCATGTTCACTAGTCCATGAATAAAAGGGGTGTTCGAAAAGGCTATTGTATTATGTTACTGTTGGATATTTATGGGCTAGATCCTACTGTATTACAGCAAAGTTGGATATATGAATAGGTAAATGTTTCTTTGGGGTCCAAAGTGGGGATTGTATTAAAGTAAGATATATAACGAGATAGTGTTGAATAGTTTAGAGAAAACATCTACTCGAGCCTTCGGCCCTCGGAGGGAATGTTTTCTCTAAATTATTCAACACCATCTCGTTCTTTTTCCATTACATAGGTACCTAGTGGAGAAACATTGTGCAAGTAGTACCTTACCCAGTCCCCGTCTCTAGATAAAAAAAAACAAGATGTTTGTGAAACACTGATGCCCCCGTATGGCAAATTATATCAAAAAGTTAAACTTTCTCAAATGCAAATCAAATATGTTGGTACCCTATGTAAGGTCTTGTCTCGAGGAATATACCTGTGAAATATGAGAGCCCTAGCAGCAACCATTGGATAGATATGGAAAAGGTTGAAGTTTTTCAAAAGTAAGTCAAACATCAAGGTCAAGGTCAAATGGTAAAAAATAATGGTGCCCAAGGAAAGGCCTTCTCACAAGAAATATACTGGTGAAATATGAAAGCTGAAGCATTAATCGTTCAAAAGTTATGACCAAAGTTTAAGTTTTCGAAAAGTAGGTCAAAGTCCAAGATCAAGGGGTCAAAGTTGTTGGTATCCGAAGGAAGGTCTTGTCACAAGAATTACATATTTGAAGCATGAAATCCCTAGCACCAATGGTTCACAAGTTATGGCCAAGGTTAAAGTTTTCCAAAAGTAGGTCAAACTCCAAGGTCAATGTCAAAGAGTCAAAGCTGTTGGTATCCAAAGGAAGGTCTTGTCACAAGAATTACACATGTGAAGTATGAAAGCCCTAGCTCCAACTGTTCACAAGTTATGGCCAAGGTTAAAGATTCTCAAAAGTAGGTCAAACTCTAAGGTCAAGGTCAAAAGGTCAAAGTTGTTGGTATTCAAAGAAAGGATTTGTTACAAGAATTACATATGTGAAGTATGAAATCCCTAGCACCAATTGTTCAAAAGTTATGATTAAGGTTGAAGTTTTTCAAAAGTAGGTCAATCTCTAAGGTCAAGGTCAAAGGGTCAAAGTTGTTGGTATCTAAAGGAAGGTCTTGTCACAAGAATTACACATGTGAAGTATGAAAGCCCTAGCTCCAACTGTTGAAGGTTAAAGTTGTGTAAAATTTTGTAAAACTAAGTCAAACTCCAAGGTCAAGGTCAAAAGGTCAAATATGTTGGTACCCAAAGAAAGATCTTGTCACAATGAATACACATCTGAAATATGAAAGCCATAGCTCCAACCAATCAAAAGTTATGGGCAATGTTAAAGTTTTTGCGGACAAACAAACAGATAAACAGACAAACAGACAGACAGACAGTAAGAGAGACAGACGGACGGACAGGACAAAAACTATATACCCCCGAATCTTCGATACGCGGGCATAAAAATTAGTACTTTGTGATATACCCTCAGACAAAGGTGTCTTACTAATCATTCAAATCATTTACTCAGAGTAAAAGGAAAACAAGTCTTATATATCTTGTAAGAAGATCATACACGTTGGATAGGAAAAAACTTTAAAATCTTCTTCTCAAGAACAACTAAGTCATTATTAGTCATATTTATACAGATGCAGCTTAGGTATTGTAGAATCAAGTTTGTTCAAATTATGACCCCAGGGGTTGGGGGCACAACAGAGGGTCCAAGTTTTGCATAAGAATACATGTATATAGGACACATCTTGAAAAAATCTGCTCAAGAACAGCAAGCCATGATTAGTCATAGTATTATAATAGAAGCATCCAAAGGTAGTGTAGAATTTCTTAAAATTTAGGATGGGTAGGATGGGGCCACAATGAGAGATCAGAATTTTACATAGGGAAACACGGGGGAGGGGATCTTTAAAATTCTTCAGTTTAAAAACAGCAAAGCCATGATTAGTTATATTAATATGGACGCATCCTGAGGTAGTGTAAATTAACTGAACTGATTTCTGCCTCTTCCTAGCCAATGTGCTCAGGTGAGCGATGTGGCCATTGGACCTCTTGTTCACAGTTTGTATAAAACCTTCAATAGTTGTATTTTTGTATCTGTATAACTAGTACTTGTATGTATCTCTCCATGAATACAATATCACAAATAAAGACGGAAGACCATCTTGTTGCCATGGCAACAAGTTTCCAGTTATTATAATAATAATAATAATTATTATTATTATTATTCAATAGAGAATAATTTTGCTTTGTATATTTTACTAGTCTTCATCCCTTGGAATAGAATAATGCAATAGATGTTGTTCAAAGTTACAAGTCTCTTATGTATGGAAGATTAAATTTTTTTGTAATTCGTGACCTCTGAGATAAATTGGGTTGGAAGGGAGATATTATATTGGCCTAGATTTGTTGGATAGGGAGCCATGTGAACTCTATGTTTTATGTGCCCTTTGTCTTTCTTTATTGTTTTTTCTTATCAGTGTTGAAATGAAAATGGATTTCTAGCATAAATCATTTTATTTTACAGGTGTGTAAAGAATCAACCGTTTTGAAAAGGATAATTTCATCAATGAACCTAAATTCTCCTATGAATTTGTCGCAAAACTCCGTGAATTCCAGTGAAAACACATCCAATGTTACAGTTGTTACGGCCTTTTGGAATCTTGGAACATTTCAAAAAGGTTCAACAGGCAAACTACATTTTTCGACGAACACTTACTTTTTATGGGCCTCCTCATTTAGATATCTTGTGAATCCCTTAGTGGTATACACAGACTCGAAAGAATTTAAAGAGCTAATGGAGAAACTAAGAGCTGATCAGATAAATACTACAATAATTTATCTGATAAATCGAACAGATGTATGGCCTTTTCAACTTACAGGGAAAATAAAAGCTATTTATAGCCAACCAGGCTATCCGAAACATCACCCAAATACGGTGAATCCAGAGTATGCTGCAGCTCAACATGCCAAATATGCCGTTGTAGCGAATACAGTGAGAAAACAAATATTCAGCTCTCTTTATTACGTTTGGCTGGATATTGGATATTTTAGAGATATAACAAGCAGAAAAAATTTTTTTGAAGTGAATACTCCACCATGTTTTGAATCAGATAAATTAGCTATAAATCGCGTTAAAGACGTTTCAATGGGTTTAGATCCTTTAAAAATATTTAGAAACAATCTTATTTGGGTTGGTGGTGGAATGTTTCTCGGAAGTCAAAAAGTAATTCTTGAATTTGAAAAATTGTACCACAAAGCAGTGTTGTACTTCCTTAACCAAAACTTGATGAATACCGATCAACAAGTGTTGTATTCTTTGTATAGTAGAAAGGGCAGAAAAACTCTTAAGCCAAACATTGAACTTCAGTTATACATCCCAAAAGGGTCAGGAAATCCATGGTTTTATTTAGGATATATATGTCTAAAAGATGTTTAAAATCAGAGGGACACACACACACACACACACACACACACACACACACACAGAGAGAGAGAGAGAGAGAGAGAGAGAGAGAGAGAGAGAGAGAGAGACTATTTGTTATGTGTATTCTTTCATAAACAAATTAATTTTTAGGTATACAAATACTTTTTCAATATGGATTTATTCATTTCACAGTGTATTTTCTTTCATTTTCGTTTTCTTTTTGTTTTTATGTAATAGATTAGGTTAGGTGGGTCCATAACAGTGAATCAAAGTTATAAATTGAATTACATGTATATAGGAATGTGTTTTTTTAATCTTCTTAAAAACCACAGCTAGGACCAGAAACAATGAAATCTAAGGGAAAGCTTCCTCAGGTGGTGTGGATTCTACAATTTTCAAATCAAGGCCTTCTGGGGTAGGGTGGGGCCAATACAGAAAATCAAAGTTTCAAACATATGGGAAAAATCTCTAAAAATCCTCTTCTCAAGAACCACTGAACTAGACAGGATTAAACTTTTGTGAAAGCTTCCTGAGGTAGCGTACATTCCTACTTTTTAAAACATAGTCCTTTGAGGTAGGGTGGGGCCACAATACAGAGTCAAAGTTTCATTGAAATACAAAGGAAAAAAAAAATCTTTGAAAAATCTTTACAAGAACCATTGGACTAGGACAATGAAACCTTAGTGAAAGCTTCCCCAGAGCAGGTAGTGTCGATTCTAAATTGCTTTAATCATGCCCCCCCCCCAAGAGGGGGGATGGGGAAAAATAGGGATCTTAGTTTTACATTTGACAGTGTAAAAAATAATTTTAAAGAAAGTCTTCAAAAGAACAACAGTAGAACCATTAATTTGTAAACATTCCGAATTAAGTTATATAAATTCATTTTTTTCTTTTAAAGTATGGACCCTGGTTTAGAGATGGCTTAAATAAGGATCAAATTTTACATTATTCATGTATACAAGAAAAAAGAAAAAAATTTCCTACACAATATTTGCAAGGCTATGAAAGTCATATTGATATTGAAGTACTCCATGTTGTGTGGGACGTGATGTTGGTCACAATTTTTCATTGGAATAAATGTATATATATATTTTTAAAAATCTGACGAAGACTGATTGATTGTATGTTGTTTAACGTCCTTTCGAGAATTTTTCACTCATATAGAGATGTCACCATATACCGGTGAAAGGCTTCAAATTTTGACCATTACTCGGCACTCAGGGCCATTGCGCAGTGAGGGATCTTTATCGTGCCAAAGGACCCGCAACTTTCACTTCAAAGTGCCGAGCGCATGGCGAAGGAACAGTTGCTACCCATTTTTTATCGACTTAGGTCAGTCGCGGCCGAGATTCGAACTCACGACCTCCCGATCACGGAGAGAGCGCTCTACCGACTGAGCTACAAATGTACCGTGAACGGTATCTGACGAAGAATAGCAGTGCTAGTGTAACTAAGAAGAGCGTTGTGCCCCAATGTTCTTGTTAATCAATCAATTACTTCTAAACTAGATCGAGTTTAGAATATAATAGAATAAAATATGATGTGTTGATATGTTCTAAGTGCACAAGAGCCTCCTCTCTTACGTCACAAGCAACATCATTATGCGCACTTTTCTCAATATTTTAGCATAATTAAATTAGTTTTAAAATTTCAGATATAATTTTAGTGTACAAAATATCTTCCTTTAACACATAAATAGAAATTATACTCTTAAATTACACAAATTAAAAAGGAATAATGATTTGAAATTTGAGGGCGAAACACCCCTTAGTAACAGGGCGAGACAGAGTGATCTCGCCCTCAGGGCAATATAGCCCTTGCTCTAGCAACTGCCTCAATAAGTCCTAAACACATGTATGAGTGCTGATACACTACTAGGTATATGCTATATAGGTGTATACTTTTGACCGGCAAGAGAGTTAACTCTCATTTTTATTCATTTTGATTCTTATTTGTAGATTGATTTATTATGACGTAATGATACCGTCGCAACTTCCAAAAAAAAAAAAAAAAAAAAAAAAAAAAATATGAAATCACGATAAAAAAAAGACACTCTCAGGTAACACAATCATGGCAAGATTTACCAGCACGACAATCAAATTGCAAATAATGCATTACGAATTATTTATTTAAATGAAGTTGTTTCCAATGAGTTGTTGAAAGTTAATGAATGAAAACTAAATACCATTTATTGATTTGTTTTGGTTTTCATATAATAAAAAATAATTCACTGTGTTTTCGGGCAACATCGACTTTGTTACCCCTTCGGGAGGAATTCGAAGATATCTCTGCATCGGGTAATATTTCATTTAACATAATCAATGTTGCCTTCAACTCTAGTAAACATTTGTATAATATAAAATCCAGTTGTTTATTTATTCAATTTCACTCAATATTTAAAAGGGTACTCCATGCAGTTCAATTTTGAAACATTTTACTCTCTGTTTAATTTTGATTTTATTTTTATTTGTTATCGTTTTCAAAGAACAATTACAACTTTAATAAATTCATCAAACTTAAAACTGTTTTTCATTTAGCGTTGTTCATAGTATAGGAAATACCCTACCCTGGTTTGATTTTTTTTATAATCGGAGGTAGTTGACCATTATAAGCTAAGCTTGCTATTAATTCAGTCATTTTTCTTATGATATATATGGAAAACCTCAACTGCCTTATGCGGAAACATTCATGTTGTGATGATATTTCATCATTGGACATTATACATTTATTGCATGAACATCCATGCAATAAATTGTTTATTACACCGAATCAAGCACAATGCAGGAAATATAATGAAGATCCAATGAATAAAGTAAACATTTGATAAGAATAATATGAAACAATGTAAGTTACACCACTAGCTGCGCTTCATAAAAAAAGAAAAAAGGTGTTTGTGAAACACTATGCCCACGATGGTAACACAATTCTGGAGTGGGACGTAGACTACAGTGCAATAGTTATGGCCAATGTTAAAGTTTTTCAAATGTAGGTCAAAGGTCACAGTTGAGGTCACATGATCAAAAATTTTTGTACCAATGGAAAAGTCTTGTCATAATGAACACATGTCAAATATCAAAGCCTTACCCTTGACAGCACAATAGTTATGGGCTAGGTTAACGTTGACAACAGACAGACAGACAAACACACAAACAGCTAGACAAACAGACAGATAGGACAAAAACAATATACCCATGGGATCTTTCGATCCAGGGGCATAAAAAAAGCTTTGGGACAAGTCAGTGTGATTTACACACTAGTAGCATTCAAACCAAACCCATGAAAACTCTTTTCTAAATATAAATATTTTACACAATCAATCAACGATATAAATAATCTAACTCAGTAGTAATCATCTCAGTCTCCGCATTGTGACGTCACAATCGTGAAACTCGAAGTTTTGTTGCAGGGAAAACACGAAGTTCACGTGACTGTCTTGGCCAATCAGATTCTATTTTACTAGTAATTATTTATATGAGGTATAATAATGAATGTTGATATCTTAAAGTTAACATTTTATGCGGGTACTATGACATAATAAGGTGATACTTTAACACCATGTGCTGCTACTTTTACATTATATGATGATACTTTGACATTATATGAAGACACATGTACTTCATTAAGTGCTGCTTTAAAAATTATGGATTAAACAAAGGGATCGTAAAACGAAAATCGCCAAAGTCGAGGTTTTCTCAGACATGGGATGCTGTAATAAAATCAGATTAGACTGAATCGACGTATTCTCACCTATTCTAACATTTCCTAGCAGAACAGGTCTCTCCGGCCGAAACTTAAAGGTTTATGTGGATAAGAATGTTTGATCGTCTTTAAATTCAAAGTCCGAGTACATGTACGTTATTTCACGAAAAAAAATAGCGTTGTGGTCCGTGTACCACTTAACAATTCAAATTTCTAAAATCATGATTTAGATTTTTAGAATTTTAATATATTAGTTCAAATTTCTAAATTTCAAAAACTCAAACTGAGTTCGTATATTGAAATTTAATATTTTAGTTCAAAAATCTAAATTTTCAAATCTCCAAACAGGTTTGAACCTAATAGAATTTTCATTCAAACGTTCAAATTTTAAATAACCAAAACACTTTTTACATTTTGAGTTTTTAGAAGTTTACTTCAAATATCCAAAATATCAAATTTCCAAACCTGATTTGATTTTTGAAACACGGTCGATATCAATCCAATTTCTAAAATTCTAAAAGCCTCATTACTTGATTGAAAACATTCTCCAGACATTAATCACGGAAGTGAAAGTAACACTAGTCAATTCGTTCGAAAGCTATCGTGATATGACAAAATCTTTATTTTTAGGGCACCAGGAACGCGAAACATGTTTCTCAACTATTTCTGCATTCAATTCTTTCTTACATAAAATACTGACGACTCGGCTAAATGATGAGTCACTATAACAATGAAATGATTTTCCAAACCATCTTGAGTCATATTTAATCTTATTTTTCTCTACATAATGGGTTTCGTATAAAAAGATAACATTTATTTTTGTATCATTTAGCCATGTATATAGTTTAACCCTTTTTTCGTCCGAGTTAAGTCCTCGGATATTGACAGACAATATTTCAAAATTATTCATCCACATAAAAAATGCGAATATAAACATATTTTGTGCTAAAGAAAACTATGATAAAGATCTAACAATGTTTATAAAGGACAAGATAGGCTAAGACCCCTTTTTGGCCCCTGGTTTTGGGTGTCTTTTAGAATGATGCAACAGTTTATTAATAAAAACCTGTTGTCATCCTTGCAACAAAATGAGTATTGGTTTTAAGTTATGGGATACACAGAAGTCACAGGAAGGTCAGAAGATTTCTGAATTTTCTCATTTTTATGGAATTTTTCATCGATTTTACAGGACATTTTCTTTCAGAAAACATAGAGCACAAGCTTGGCTATCTACCAAATTTATATATTTCATACACTAGTATCAGATGTATCTTACATGTATGTATAAAAATCTCTGATAGGCAAGCTTGTGC